TAAAAAATCGAAAACTTGGAAAATCAATGAACAATTGAAAATTCGAAAAACTGAAAAATACCAAAACTGACACATTGAAAAATTGAACATCCGAAAAGCTGAAAAATTGAGATATCGAAAAATGGAAAAGTCGAACTCGAAAAATCGAGAATTTATATATCGAACAATTGAAAAATCAAAAATCTGAAAAATCGAAAAATCGAGGAATTGACTGAAAGATCTAAAATCGAGAAGTCAAAAAATCGAAAGATAAGAAATCGAAACAAAAAAAAAATAAAATTGAAAAAATGAAAATTCAAAAATCTTAAAAATCCAAAAATCGGAGAATCGGAAAATAGGAGAATCGGAAAATAGGAGTCTCCAAAAATTGAAAAATCTAAACGTGGAAAAGTTAAGAAACCGAAAAATCGGAAAATCAAAGTCAAGAAACCGAAAAATCTAAAAATCGATTATTCGAAAAATCGAAACATCGAAAAATCGAAAATTTAGGGAGACCAAAAATTAAAACATTGAAAAACTGAAGAATTGAAAAATTGACTAATCGGGAAATTTGAACAATTGAATAATCGAAACGTCGAAATCTCGGTAAATCGAGAAATTTTGAACTGAAAAATCGAAACACTGGAAAATTAAAAAGCGAAAAATTAAAAAATTCGAAAATCAAACATTGTAAAAATGGAAAATTTGAAAAACCCAAAAATCTAAAACCGAGAAGTCGAAAATCGAGAGATGTAGATATCGAAACATCAAAAGACTGAAAAATAGAAAAATAGTTCTTCAATTTTTAAACTGGAAAAAATGAGAAGTCGAAAAATTGAAGAACCGAAAAATTTAATTCCGAAAAGTTGAAAAATTTAAATACCGAGAAACGATAAATGAAAAATAAAAAATTAGAAAAACTGAAAAATCTAAAACTCCAGAAGTCGAAAGATGAAAAAATTGAAAAACTGATAAACTGTAAATCGAAAAATCTAAAATTTAAAGATTCGAAAAATTGAGAAACTTAAAACCGAAAACTCGAAAAGCTGAAGAATCGGGAGATCGAAAACTCGAAATGTCGGAAGTCAAAAAATCGACAATTGAAACGTCAAAAGTCTGAAAAGTCCAAAAATTGAAAAATCGAAGAATTGACTGAAAAATTTCAAATCGAGAGGTCAAAAAATCGAAACATTAAAAACTGAATTTAAAAAATAGAAAAATCGAAGAACTGAAAAATTGAAACCTTGAGAAAATCGAACCATCAAAAATTCGATAACTCGAAAAAATTGAAACAGAAAAATCTAGTATTTAGAAAAATCGAAACGTCTACATCTGGATAAATTGAGAAACGTTGAAAAATCGATAAATTTTAAAGGAGAAAAATTCCAAAATCGAAAATTTGAAAAACCCAAAAATCTAAAACCGAGAAGTTAAAAAATCGAATCATCAAGAAACTGAAAGATAAAAAAATTGAAAAATTGAAGAACTGTAAATTCGAAAAAATGAGAACTCGAAAAATTAAAAAGCCGAAAAATCTAAATCCGAGAAACTAAAATAAAAAAAAATCGAAAAATTGAAAAAACCCAAAACTGAAATCTATATATAAATCGAATATCGTAAAGTTGAAAAATTGAAGAAAAATAAAAAATTCGAAAATTTGAAAAATCCAAAAACTGAACAACCTAAAAGATGAAAAATCGACAAATGGAAAACTCGAAAAATCGAACTCAAAAAATCGAAAATTTCACATATCGAACACTTGAGAGAATAAAAATCTGAAAAATCAAAAAACAGAAAATCGAAAAATTGAAGAACTGACTGAAAAATGTAAAATTGAGAAGTCGAAAAATTGAAAACGCGAGAAATAGAAACATCAAAAAAATTAAAAATCATAAATTTAAAATCGAAAATTTAAGAAATCGAAATTCATGAAAAATTTATAGACGCAAAAAAAATTGAAAAATCTCACAACTGAAACACTGAAAAATTGTGATCCAATTGATTTTTTTACAAAAATTTCGATGTCCAGGCATTGTTATTATAAATTATAGTAACATTACTCTTGTAAAATTTGGAAATTCATTCCATTGTTGGTGAGGATGACTAGACAAATTTTGGTTAGCGTTTTACCATCTATTTAGATTACATTCCTAGCATACGGTACGTACAAAATTTGACAACCATTGGTCGTCCGGTAATTTCGGATATTATCCGATTAATAAAAATGGACACAGACGGTGGACAGACAGACAGACGGAAACCTATTTTCCGTACTCTAGCGGTTATAAAACATCGAAAAAAAACGAAATACTGGAACGAAAAGGATCGTAGGTCACTCTAGCCCAGATTTTTCGCCGTTCCGTGTCACCTGCTATTAGTAAATTAAATTCCGCCCACTGCGTAAATCCCGGTCCTTATATCATTTCATAGTAGTTTTTACGAGGGGCCGTATTGTTTTTCATTTGATAAGAACCAATTTGCCGGCGAGAGATCCGCGCCTATTCTCCATTGGAAGAATCAGCTGTTTAAGACTTAATAAGAGTTCTCGAAGAAGGGAAACTTTTTACGACAATAATAAAATTATTGATTTTCGTCCAAATTAGGGGCAACTTGTATGCTGGAGGAAGAAGCATATTAAAATTTTAAGTGGATATTTTCTGAGGGAGCGCGGAAAAGGTTTTTTGCTAAATGTTGCCGAGAGCTCTGATTGCTGCACTTGTTAACTTAATGCCGATCGACTATTACGGTTATGGAAAGTCAACAGTTAGAGAGCTGGAAGTTGGGAGAGCTTTGTTGTATCAATAAATGAGTGATTTTAGTCATTTGCGAAACGCCTCGGGCAAGTGGTTACAACGTGATGAATGCTGCCGGAAGACCACCATTTTTTTGTCAGTGTGACTAGTTCGCTGACAGTAATTCTGAAAAGGAAGTGGCGTCACAGTAAATAATACTCGGAGGGATTTGAAGTGGTGTGTTAAGACATACCTACGTTTTTCTAGGCAAGGCAAACACACATTTAGATTTACACATCTATCTCAGATAAGAATTTTTTTTTAAATAACCGAGATATCAAACCGGAATTGTTTTTTTTTGTGAAACTGTCCTCATAATCAATCAAACAAAAAAAAAAAAAACAAAAGAACCTGAGGGGGTTCTGGGGAACACAGAGGCGTATTTTATGCAGCAACCGGAATTTAATCTACTAATAGCTGGCGTGTTGCCTCACCGCTGCCTTTATCACTGTGCATTATGTTTGCTTTTTACACGAAATGTACACGAAGGAATGTTCATTAATTATATAAACAACGCTAAACGGACTGTCCCACTCTCTGCATGTTTTATCACACGTTAAATAAAACAGTCCTCGAAACGCAGACCGCAATAAATCAATCGAGATCTAAAATTTATTAGCGACAAGGGTCGGGAAAAAAAGTTCAAACTTCACGTGTCCTGACGATGCACGTTTTCGGCTTACTTGCAATTTTCGAGGAGCCGATCTGAAGACGTGCTCGAGGGGCGGACGAGAACAGGGAGAGATGCATGACGTATCTGGGATCTGGCGCAAAGGGGTGACCTTTCGGGGTATCCTTTACGTCTGCTGATTTTAACGGTATCGATCAAAGGGGGCTGCGAGGGATGCTGGAAGGGGTGTAATTAGTAAAAATGTGACCTTATGTGGCTGTTCGAAACAAATGTAACTAAAGTGTAAAACTATGTCGGTGCTTAAGACAAGTCCAGACTTCAAGTAGTCTGATTTATATTCATTCTGCAGTTGTCGCTGTACACCCATTATGGTACCAAGTGCAAAAAAGGGCGTTTTAGTTACATTAATTGAGAAGATTTTGCCTTTTCAGTACGAAAATGAGTAACTTTCTCTTAATAAGACGTTTATTTGAAACAATTAATCGATGACCACACTCGAGCCACACAGGCCTCAGATGGAAGAATGAGACAGTGGTTGTTTCCAAGTACGAAGCAAATTTTATGCAATCAGTTTGACAACCCGTCTTCGACAGAAACGGGTTTTGACACCAATAACATAAATAAAACAGGCGTTTTCTACCAAATACGGCACAATTACTAATAATAACACTAGGTGGTAATAATGGTAAAAATTGCGAAGCATGGAACATAAAAACCTTGTGTACGTCCACAATACAGATAACATTCCGTGGCGTTATCCAGATGGAGGTGTGCATTAGATGTAAAAGTATAATTATCGTGGAGTCATCCTCCAAAACCACTAATTTTAACAACGTAATAAAGTCCCTGGAATTTTTTTAGCCATTATTTTATCTCCCCAGATAACGAGTGTAGCTAATGGTCTTTTCGGTCATGGTATTTAAGATATGAAATGTACAAAACAATAAAAAATTATCTTTGTTGGTAGGTAGTTTTTAGAATTGCCATTAGTCTTGTCTTAAGAACCAATTAAGTGAATTTACGACTGCATCAAACGAAACGTCAAACACAGTTTCCTGTGTGGGTTGCCTTTCTTTTCTCAACCACAAATCTTCCTCGGTCTATTAAAAAATTGGCAAAGGCTAGCCGTGGCGGATTGGGTGTGTTATTACTTAAAATATCTAAAACAATAAGAGCAGGGGAAAGGAGAGCGAAAGGCTGGTTATCGGCCTGAATGCGTGCTGGCCTGATTTTTTGTGTAACGAAAGATATTTTCGAAAAAGCGCTCCTCAAAAACGACTTCAGATACAAATTATGAAAAAATTCGTTCGTATGGTGTCCGTTTTCCAAAATATTTACGTTTAAATTTGAAAAACTAGTGGCTGGTCTCCAAATTACCTAGCTTCAGATTTGAATTTTTAAAATATCTCAAAATTTACCAATCTGATTTTGGCAATTTTGGTGAAATGAGGTCAAATGTCGACAAACAAACTTGTTAAAAAATTTAAGAGCTTGAATTTGGATGTAGAGAATTGTTTTATTTTCTGAAGACTTTCAATGGGAAGTCAAACTTTTCGAATTCTATTTATTAAATATCTAAAAATTATTTTTTTTTCCAGGTTCTTGGAAAATGGATGAAAATTCTGAAAGATAGATTTTGACGAATTGAATCGAAAAGTGTAACGTATCAGTGGTCTCGGACCAAGATAATGGGTACAAATGAAATTTTTTAACCATCAATAATGGTATTTTTTCACAAGAACACGTTCAGCAGGACTCTACAAAAACTGGTAAGTCAAAAATTATGAAAAAATTCAGTGTTAGGCGGAAATCCCGTGTTTATTGAGGAAAAAAACTAGAAGTTTGCACGATGTCCACTTTCCAAAATATCTAGGTTCAAATTCGAATTTTTAAAATATCTCAGAATTTGCCATATTTTGGTATTTTTTATGAAATGAGGGGAAGTATATACAAACGGTCATGTCAGGAAATTTTAGAAACTTGAACTTGTCTGCGCAGAATTTTTTTGCATTCTTTTGAAGACTTTCAAGAGAAAGTCAAAATTTTAAACTTGTATTAAATGTGAAAAATTGTTTTTTTTTTTCAATGTCCCTATAAAATCGCCAGAAAATTCTGAGGGATAGATCTCGACAAATTAAATCGAAAAATATAGCATATTAGTAGTCTCGGACCACGATTATGGATACAAATGAAATTTTTTAACCATCAATAATGGTAGTTTTCCAAAAAAACACGTTCGGCAGGACTCCACAAAAACTGGTAAGTCAAAAATTATGAAAAAATTCAGTGTTACGCAGAAATCCCGTGTTTATTGAGGACAAAAATTAGAAGTTCGTACGATGGCCACTTTCCAAAATATCTAGGTTCAAATTCGAATTTTTAAAATATCTCAAATTTAGCCATATTTTGGCATTTTTTGTGAAATGGGGCGAAGTATCTACTAATGGGTTTGTCAGGAAATTTCAGGAGCTTGAACTTGTCTGCGGAGAATTTTTTTGTATTTTGTTGAAGACTTTCGAGAGAAATTCAAAATTTTGAAGTTCTATGAAATGCTAAAAAATTGATTTTTTTTCAATGTCACTAGAAAATTGCCAGAAAATTCTGAGGGATAAATCTCGACAAATTAAATCGAAAAATATATCATATTAGTAATCTCCGACCATGATTATGGGTACAAGTGAAAGTTTTTAACCATCAATAATGGTATTTTTCCAAAAGAACACATTCAGCCCGACTCCACAAAAACTGACAACCCAAAAGTTATGAAAAAATTCAGTGTTAAGCAACAATCCCGTGTTTATTGAGGAAAAAAATTACAAAATCGTACGATGAATACTTTCCGAAATATTTAGGTCCAAATTCGATTTTTTAAAATATCTCAAAATTTGCCATAGTTTGGCATTTTTTGTGAAATGAGGGGAAGTATCTACTAACGGGTTTGTCAAGAAATTTTAGAAACTTAAACTTGTCTGCAGAGAATTTTTTTATATTTTTTCGAAGACTTTCCAGAGAAAGTCAAAATTTTGAAGTTCTATTAAATGCCAAAAAATTGTTTTTTTTTTCAATGTCCCTATAAAATCGCCAGAAAATTCTGAGGGATAGATCTCGACAAATTAAATCGAAAAATATAGCATATTAGTAGTCTCGGACCAAGATTATGGATACAAATGAAATTTTTTAACCATCAATAATGGTAGTTTTCCAAAAAAACACGTTCGGCAGGACTCCACAAAAACTGGCAAGACAAAAATTATGAAAAAATTCAGTGTTACGCAGAAATCCCGTGTTTATTGAGGACAAAAATTAGAAGTTCGTACGATGGCCACTTTCCAAAATATCTAGGTTCAAATTCGAATTTTTAAAATATCTCAGAATTTGCCATATTTTGGCATTTTTTATGACATGAGGTAAAGCATATACAAACGGTCATGTCGGGAAATTTTAGGAACTTGAATTTGTCTGAGCAGAATTTTTTTGTATTTTTTTGAAGACTTTCAAGACAAAGTAAAAATTTTCAATTTCTATTAATTGCCAAAAAATTGTTTTTTTTTTTCAATGTCACTATAAAATCGCCAAAAAATCCTGAGTGATAATCTCGACAAATTAAATCGAAAAATACAGCGTATAGCAGTCTCGGACCAAGATGGATACAAATGAAATTTTTTTACCATCGATAATGGTATTTTTCCAAAAGAACACATTCAGCACGCCTCCATAAAAACTGGTAAGACAAAAATTATGAAAAAATTTAGTGTTAAGCAGAAATCCCGTGTTTATTGAGGAAAAAAATTAGAAATTCGTACGATGGCTACGTACCGAAATATCTAGGTTCAAATTCGAATTTTTAAAATACATCAAAATTTGCCATATTTTGGCATTTTTTGTAAAATAGGAGCAAGTGTACACGGACATCTAAAGAAATTTTAGGAACTTGAACTTGTCTGCTGAGAATTTTTTTGTATTTCTTTGAAGACTCAAAGTAAAGTCAAATTTTTCAAATTCTATTATATAAATGCCAAAAATTTTTTTGTTCACTAGAAAATCTCCAAAAACTTCTGAGGGAAGTAATCTATAAGAATCTATATACTATATACTATATAGTAGAAAATGTCAAAATTGCCAAAATCAGTCTTATCTCATCAAATACTAGCCCCGCCCACCCGCCCTCTATGTACTTGAAAGGTATGTTATTTGCCAAAATCAGTCTTATCTGAGCAAGTACTAGCCCCGCCCACCCACCCTCTATTTTCTTGAAGGGTATGTCATTTGCCAAAATCAGTCATGTTAGGAAGTACTATATACAAGTCGTTAGAATAAGAAGAGGGGGATAGGCGGGGCTAGTACTTGCTAAGATAAGACTGACTTTGGCAAATGACATACCCTTCAAGAAAATAGAGGGCGGGTGGGCGGGGCTAATATTTGATGAGATAAGACTAATTTTGGCAAATGAGAAGAAAATAGAGGACGGGCGGGCCTGGTTAGTACCTGGTAAAATAAGATCGATTTTGGCAGATGACATACCTTCCAAGAAAGGAGAGGGTGGGTGGGCGGGGCTAGTACCTGCTAAGATAAGAGTGATTTTGGCAAATGAGATTTCCTCTAAGAAAAAAACGGGCGGGTGGGCGGGGCTAGTACCTGCTAAGGTAAGACTGATTTTAGCAATGATAAACTCTTCTAAGAAATTTAATTAAATTATTATGTATAAGAAAAGACATTAGAGGCTCCAAAGCACTTTCAAATTCTTTCCAAACAGGAGTACCTAGAACCTTAAATTTTTCAAAAAAAAAACTCAGAAATAAGTACGTTAGCATTTTCCAAAAATAGAACTTTCAAATTTTCAAAATATCTCAAAGTTTGCCATACTTTATCATTTTTTGTGAAATGAGGGGAAGTATCTACAAACGGGTTTGTCAGGAAATTTTAGGAATTTGAACTTGTCTGCGGAGAATTTTTTTGTGTGTTTTTAAAGATTTTCAAGAGAAAGTCAAAATTTTCAAGTTCTATTAAATGCCAAAAAATTTTTTTTTCAGTGTCACTAGAAAATCGCCAGAAAATTCTATAGGATACATCTCGACGAATAATATCTTAAAATACAGCATATTAGTAGTTTCTGGTCAAGACCATAGTTACAAATCATAATTTTTAGTTAACAGTGGTAATTTTCCTAAAGAACACGTTCAGCACGACTCTGGAAAAACTGAAAAGTTATATAAAAATTATGAAAAAATTCATACTTACCCAAACATGTTATGTCTATCAGAGGAAAATCGTAGAAGTTCGTATGGTGTCTATTATCCAAAATATCTAGGTTCAAATCGAATTTTTTGATCATCTGAAAATTTGACGCATTTCATTTCGATAATTTTAAAGAAACCACAAGATATATTAACATATGGACATGTTAAAATACCTCCGGAGCTTCAACTTGACCAGGGAAATTTTTTTAGCAATTTTTTGAACACCGACAAATTTTTTTTAAAAAATCGGAAAACTGTCAAAAAATTCTTAGGGATAGATCTTAACGAGATGGATCCAAAAATATAACATATCATCAGTCTCGTACCACGATTATAAGTAGGTATAATAAGTCAAAATTCTAAGTGAATACATACTTTTTCATAAAACTCAAAAAATACTGAAAAATTACGAAAAAATTCACACTTTGAAAACATTCGTCATCAATTTTCGACAAAAATTTGAGATACACACAGTAGGAAGAATTTTCTGCGAGAGATCTAAAAAAAAATAACGATAATGTGAAGTCTGTATGAAACAGCCTGTATAATTCTGTAACAATCCGGCAAAGGTCTCGACTTTTGTCCTCCGCCCCAATAAGCCCCCGGATCGGCCAAAACGGGAAAACGTTAATTTGCGAATTTAATAATACGCATCTCCTCGTCCTCCATCTCGCCGTTCCGGTTGTAAGAGCCGCAATATCCATAACCTTAAGTGCCTTCCCCGGCGAAAGATTTCCACCGGAAGCCCCCTAATAATCCTCCGATAATTACTCTCTCCCTTGCCAAATTTTCGCGGCAATCGCCATTAATCAGCGCGCAAGCATCTCAAAAATAAACCCGCGGCTCTAAATAAATAACTCGCGTGTAGCAAGAGAGCTAACATCCATCAAAAAATATTTCCATGCGGAATAAATTGAAATCCATCAGCTCGCAGGAACCCCGCGGACTCGACGACATCCACAGACAGCTATTGTTATCCGTTGCTTCATTTTCATATTTCTGTTCGGTCCTCCCCACATTTTCGCGTCCCCGCCGCACACGTTATTGATCTTAATGACATATCTTCGCTCCGAGAGCTCCAGAATAAATATACATGGACCACTTATCCGGCCGGAGGAGTCCGGGGGCGGGAGCGCGATTGTTCGCGATGACATGCTGCGATTTCTTGTTCGAGGACTTACCTATTTGTTTTCCGGACAGATGATCGCGGTATTGTTTGTCGAATCATGTCGGCTCTAATCAGACCTCGAAAGAGATGACGCGGGGGCTTGACGAGGAGGGACAGGGCCGGAGTCGAAAAAAACATTGACGAACACATCTGTGTTAACGACGCTCGTCGCACTAGAATACCAATATTAGTGGTTGTTGCGAAATTGTTCCCGATAAAAACTTATTGCAGGATTTATGTTCAATTTAAATCACAATGGATCATGTCGCGGTACATTTCAGAAGCGTAGTTTGTAAACCTGGATAGCGTTTCTTCAAATTAAACTTAATAAACATTTGAATCAAATCAGATACGTTCTTAATGG